CCTGACCAGGAACGACTGCGAAAAATGCAGCAGAAGGTCCTCTGGTAGGAATTGAACCCTACGGCCCTGCGATTCCGGTGCAGCGCTCTAACCAACTGAGCTACAGAGGCCAGCTGTTGAGCTTTAACCGTAAGTTCATGTATATTTAAGTAATCGGGTGTGCGGGCTATGATAAGGTGGACTTCAATAATTTGGATTCTTGCACTTCACTTGGTGGACTTAATATTAGAATGTTAGGGTTTGTAATCCAAGTGAGAATATATACATTTGCATATTCTCACTTGGATTACAAACTATTCTCATTTGGATTACAAAATATATACACCAAATATATACATGTACTATACCGGTACATTTGTATATTCTCACTTGGATTACAAAATATTCTCACTTGGATTACAAAATATATACATGTATATATTCTCACTTGGATTACAAACCCTAACATTCTAATATTAATTCCACAAGTGAAGTGCAAGAATCCAAATTATTAATTTAAAATGCCCTGCCGGGGCTAAGGTTCGAGTGGAAATGCCCAACCCCCGGGATGTGCTTTACAGGAAAATGGCTGGGCAAGGGGGATGGGCACACTTGGATTTGGCTGATGCATTGGGCTATTCCATTAAATATCCGTACCCCCCTGTCGAGGATCCCTGGAATTCTTCAGGGGTAAAGGGTTTTGAGCTTGGAATTCTTCAGGGGTAAAGTGTTTTGAGCTTGGAATTCTTCAGGGGTAAAGGGTTTTGAGCTTGGAATTCTTCAGGGGTAAAGAGTTTTGAGCTTGGAATTCTTCAGGGGTAAGGAGGTTTGATTTGAAATTTTTCAGAGCTTGGAATTCTTCAGGGGTAAAGGGTTTTCAGCTTGGAATTCTTCAGGGGTAAAAGGTTTCGAGCTTGGAATTTTTCAGGGGTAAAGGGTTTTGAGCTTGGAATTCTTCAGGGGTAAAGGGTTTTGAGCTTGGAATTTTGGAATTCTTCAGGGGTAAAAGGTTTTGAGCTTGGAATTCTTCAGGGGTAAAGGATTTTGAGCTTGGAATTTTGGAATTCTTCAGGGGTAAAAGGTTTTGAGCTTGGAATTCTTCAGGGGTAAAGAGTTTTGAGCTCGGAATTTTGGAATTCTTCAGGGGTAAACAGTTTTGAGCTTGGAATTCTTCAGGGGTATGACAATGAAAAACATGTATCCTCGACAGGGGGGGTACGGATATTAAATGGAATAGCCCATTAAAAGTCCTGTGCTTATTCCAGACTGCTTGTCAAATATTTACTTGCTAGAAGTAGAAATTTACTCTGACCGCTGGATGAAGAAGACATTAAATAAGTACTGGTCAATAAACAGAAATGTATTTTATTTCATGGTATTACAATTTTATTTTTATACTATAAAAATAAAATATAAACATGCAGCATAGAATATGCAAATTCGAGGCAAGATTATTGTTGAATCGGTTTATTTATAGGATTTATAACAAATAGCAACTATAAAAGTTTGTACCTTGTCTTCACATCGTAATAGCCAATGCTTTTAATTTTACATATTTTAGAATCAGTTCCTTTCCTGGTAACTGCATTTCTAAATGAAATCATCGTGAGTAGTGAGTGCTGAGCAGGCTGTTTTACTATAAACAAATTTTAACAACTTTGAAAAATATATCGTTGCACATTCGGTCACAGTCGGAAAAATGTTCATAGTATGTTGTACCGTCGTTTGCAACTAACGATGAACAGTCGCTCATAAAAACATTCGCGTGATTAGAATCTTCAATGTTTGTCCAGAACAACAACACTTAATTGTTGTTTCCCATGTGTGCAATAAAAATAAGTAACAAAACTTTGTCTGAACTTGTTGGGCTAGAGACCTACTGGAAACTTTTACAGGCTTTTTAATGAGAATAGAGAATGTTTTATCTGCAACTGTTCACCCTTAGTTGCCACCGACGGTATTGACAGCATAAAATTGCCTGTGGCTGTGATAACTGATATAAATAAAATACAGTCTGGTTATACTGACTTGAGCGTGTCATGACAAACTCTTTATTGGAAAATTGTGAAGAAATAGTCGAATATAGAGGGTCGAATATCATACTTAAACTTTTATAGCTACAGTATCATTGGTACATGGCGTTGTGAAGACAAGCCTTTGCTTTTAATTAATACCTTTCGCTTCAGCAGTCTTTTTTTCCATGCTTCTCTACGCTTTCCCAGCCGAACTTCTCTTTCCTCAGCAGTCTCCTCGAGCAAACGTTGTCGTCTTCGCTGGCTCCCTCCTTTTCGCGAGACGTTCGGCTTTCTTGTCGTTTCCTTGCCGCTCTTCATTTGGCTCCATACAGTAGTCCATATCTTTTCAATTGGTATTTGATACCATAATTGTTTTATTAAACTCTTTATAGAGCAAATTGCTTTGAAAGCTGTCAAAGTTTTTTGCAAACGTACAAAATATAACCTGAGTATCAGGCTCTATTTTACAAATAGAGCCTGATACAAAACTTAACCTGATCGCTTTCCGCCCACAGCAAAGTTTATATTTAGTATCCAATCAAAATGTCGCAGGAGAAATTTAAATTTCACACAACGACAACAACAATCTAATTATAGCATAGGCAGCCCACTAAACGATTGAATTTAAATTAAAACTGCAATGAACTTATAAAATTAACAAAAATAATCACAAATTAGCGAAATATATTGCAAATGTAGCTTATATTAAATCGCCACCCGATTGCTCTCTCCTCCACAGAGGTTTCAGTGACTACAATGAGCTTTACATGGCGCTTGCCGTATTTATCAACAAACTGACGTATAATTATAAAGTATACTTTATAACTATACGTCAGTCGATAGTGCAATCTGATGGCGATTTAATATAAGCTACATTTGCAATATATTTCGCTAATTTGCGATTATTTTCTAATTTTACTGCAGTTTTAATTTAAATTCAGCCGTTTAGTGGGCCGGCTATAATTGTAGTTGTGAATTGTGATCGTTATAAAATATATCAACAACAATAGTGTAATCTAATTAGCACCAGCCAATCAAATGACAGATTTAAAAATCGTTTGTCTAATCGGCCAATCAGCGCTCAGTCCAGATTCTGGACTGAACAACCAGGCAAAATGCCACTTTTGTGTCAGGCCGTACTTTTCTCCCCTTCGCCCACGATCAGGCGTGCCTGTGCCCTAAAAAGTACGGCCTGATACTCAGGTTATACAAAATACTGCAGTGCAAACAGTGCTTCCATTTTCAAAATAAAAATTTCCCATTTTTGACAACAAAATTTCTCTAAATTCCTTAGATTGTATACATAAATTCCTTGAAATTTCCTTGAAATTTCATTAAGCAGTTTGAAGTGATTTTGTACCAATACAAAAGGATATAGTTAATTTTAAAGGCACAAAATAGCACAATTAATTAACACAGATATGGGCTAGGTAAAAAACACAGGCTATTATACTGTTTAAAATTAAATATTTGTTATGATTTTACAACATATACGATTCCACTGATATAAGTGTGGTAAATACTATTTCGCTGACCTCAGAATGACATTTCGTCAAAACTTTTTTCTTCAAGATTGGTTTAGAAACAAATTTGGCATAGGGTTAGGTTAGGGTTAGGGTAAGGATTAAGGTTAGGGTTAGAGTTGGTGTTTGGAGTACTCAGTAGGGTTAGTGTTAGTAAAACCGTTGCTTTGTTAATTGTCACTCTGAGGCCAGCGAAATAATCTCTTCCTCACAGTGTTTGGCGCCAAAAGTTACTAAATCCCATCAGTCAAGAACTTTCGGAAGTTTTCGGAAACACGAAGAAAAACTTATAAACAGATTTTTAATGAACATAATTGATAAATAATGATAATTCACTCAAAAATGTAAAAAATAGTGAAACCTTCTTCTGCACCAATGCACTGGGATGAATATTTAAGTTTTTCGGAAAAAATCCTTAGATTTCCTTAGATTTTTTCTCTTCCTTAGATTTTCCTTTTGGACCATAGAATTTCCTTAGAAAAGGAAATTTCCTTGAAAATGGAAGCACTGGGACCAGTAGTCATGGAAATGGCGTCATTTTCACTCAAAATCCGCCATGTTTTTGGCTTCGCTTGGTTGACCGAACGAAGTATAGGAGCAGGTCCTCCAGTTATTATACAGCTCAGTGAACGTGTAACAGGGTGGACTCATTGAACTATAAATAAACTGGAAGGCTAACTGCTATGATGAAGGCCTATGATTTGATGAAGCCAAAATAGTTTTTCTGAGTTATGAGCAGAAATACTTGACCCCAAACGTCGGCCTATATATCAAATTGAAGCTGTTGAAAATTGCTATTCGGTGTGGAAATTTCAAGACTTCAGCGAAAAGAAAAATCTTTAAAAAATACAAAAACAACTGCAAAACGGCAAATTATCGGTAATTATGTTTGTAGTTTTTCAATATTTCCCTTTTAGCTAAAGTCTTGAAATTTCTACACCAAATAGAGTTTTTCAATAGCTTTAATTTGATATATAGCCCAACGTTCAGTGTTGAGTATTTCTGCTCATAACTCAGAAAAACTAAAATGCAT